TCTGAAGGACAAGCAGAGAAAAAAATAATTTCTCACTCTTCCTGAAGTCTCTCTTGTTTAAATCCAGGTCCAGGATAGAGCTGATTTAATATTGGGCAAATGATCTCTTCCCTGGATATAACTTAATATTCTGTCTTAGAAACTGAGAGTATTTTCATATGAGAAATTTTGACCTACAGCTCAAATTCACAGCCCAATTGGATACTCTTCCTGACCATTGAGAGTTTGGTCTGAATGAAATAAATGGCACAATGATTCCATTGGTATGGAATTCTTTGTTTTAGAAATGACTGGAGAGTGTATCTAAGAAATATGGACAAAAAGAATAAAGTGGGACTTAGGAGATAGTGCAGGATTTGGGGACTTACGGAGGATGTATGTAAGGTATTGTCAGTAACAAGACCTAAGGAAATGGGAGCAGATCTTCTAGACCTGGGAGAATGGCAAAACTGTAGTCCATGGTTTAGATCATCTAAAACAAAGACCTCATACCTCACTTTAGTTGAAATTAGATACATACACCAAACAAAAACAAAAACACACTGTTCCACTCAAGCAAGAGTACCATTTGGAGGGGTGCTTTAGTGGTAAGCCAAATCTTCATTTGGTTTTTGTAGTGTTTGGATTGCCTTGGACTCTGTCTGGGTTTTGTCAGCCATGAGTTTTCTGAATGCTGTGCCTTGTTTAATGTACTGAACTTTCACATTATTTACTAAAATAAGTGTTTTTGAAATATTGGGCTGTATCGCTTAAAGGAAGGTTAGAATTGAGAATCCAGACTCCTAATCTCAAGCAGAGAATAGTTTGCATCCAGACACTTGAATAAAAGGACCAGAGGATTAATCAGAGCACCACAAGGAGTAAGTACCTTAAATCAGGGCATCCTCTTTGTGCCCACCACAGTCTACTATTTTCACAAAAGGATCTGTTTCCTCTCTCCAGTCCCCATCCCCTATATATGTTACTCAACGTACCCTTGCATCCATCCTTTCCCTCCTCTACCCACCCAATTCCAATAAAACTGTGATTGTTGGTCAGCCAGATTCAGAGATGTATGTAGATCACCATGATGACAGAAGAAGTCCTGATGCAGAAGGGGAGAGACAGAAACAGCACGGGGAGCTACTCTGAGTCTAATACACTGACCGTTACCCTTCATTTCTAGAATACCAAAAGGCCTATGCTCTTTACAAGTGATTCTTTTGTCTCTGAGAAATATACCTTGTGACTAGAGGTTAAGGGGTGCTGTTGTATTGGCAGTAGAATGCCTGAACTGTTCCTTAAAAATTTATTTTCTATGACTTTCAGGTGATCATCATCCAATTCTAAGCAGTGGTATCCAGACCCCTAAACCTGGTGAGAGATGATTACCTTCCATTCCTGCTCCAAACAGTTGCATCCTAACCCCTGCTATCTATCAGTACAGCAAACACATGTTCACGATCTCAATGAAGCTCAGGAGGAAGAAAACTGCAGGTGCCCACCCTCCTCCAGGGTCACCACGCCTCACTCTCACTTTCAGATCATTTCCCCTTTAGTGTTTCTGTCTCTGACTTCAGTGATCTTCCATGAAAGGGAAGGGGTAAGCATCTTTCTTACCCTATCTTCACTCACAACCTAAGATCAATTCCTGCAGCCTTACATGTCATAGGACCACAGCAAGGAGTCAACACTTTCTTGTGCCCAAGGGTATGTATGGTGCATTGATGAATGACCAGAAGTTTTGTAGAGTATATTAAATGTCTCCAAACCTGGTGATTTGGGTATACATCTCTTGTTAAAGGAAGAAACTGAAAGTTGCTTAGCACCAAAGTGTCCACATATTGTCCAAGGGTCGTGTTATAAGACTCTTCCACCAGATCACAACTTTGCATTTGTACCTTCAGAGAAAAACTATTTTGGCACCTGTTCAAAACTTGACAGAACATAAGGCAGCCATGTAAGTTGTGAATGATATATCAGTCATTCTCCCTTTGCTGTGACAGAGTGAAAGCATCATTAAATTTTAGTGAGAGAAACCAAAACAAGATAAATTCTACTGCTCACCTGGTAGATACCACATTCATGTCAGATTATGCTGTGCTTCAGCATGAAAATTGAGGGTATTATAACTAGGAGGGGAGATGTAAGCTATTTGATGTACCTCTGCAGTGCTAGTGTGATGAAAACCAGTTTAATCTGTTATGTCAGATGGTAGGGTCTAGAAAAAAAAATGCAACTAGGAGAAATCAGAGAAATCAAATAAAAGAAATTAATACCAGTGCGGATATTGACTGTTGATGGGGAATAGGTTTCCAAAATGAACCATTCTGGAGAAAGAATTGGAAAAAACGGAGTTACTAAGTGAAGATAATATGGATGATGAGAGTAAATTATGAATAAAACTTCACCACAAGTTCAAGTAGAAGAATGGGACTTTCATTGTCACAACCTAGGAAATCAGTCAGTGTGTACAGGTGACGGGGCAGTCTGGATGAACTTGGAGCTAGACATGAGATGTAGAGAAGACCATGGGATACGCAGGAAAAAAGTCATTCAACAGGCAGTTAGAAATGCAGACAAGTCTGGAGGGTGGTCACAGCTGAAGATATAAGTTAGGCAGTAACAGAAGCCTTAAGAGCAGAGACAATCTGTGCAAGGTGGCTGAAAGAGGAAAGCAGAAGGCAAAGCCTGGGGATGCCCATGGTGAGAAACAGCAGCGGACGAGGAGCCAGAAAAGGCAAGCAAGGAATAACTCTGATCTGGTTTCCGAAGGAAAAGCCAACAACCTCCCACAAATACAAGCGGTAACCACTCTTCCTGCTCCTCTTTCTGTATTTACTCTTCTACCTGGTGCAAGGAGATGTGACCTGTTCCCTGTCCTTGCGAAGAACATTACCTAGAAGTAACAGAGATGTCCTTGGTTGTGACACTTTCCCCAGGAGTTTGCAGAATAAATTAAGAGAGGAGGGGGCCTGTGTTTATTTTATTAACCAAAGAGCATTAACTGGAGCCTTATTTGTAACTAAGCACTATGAAAACATTAGAAAAAAATGGAAAGCAAGGTTTCCGTTCAGGAAATTGCAGTCTTTGGAGATCAACAAGACCAACTCAAGTGAAACGATAAGTCCTCACCAACACACTCCGCTGGGTGGCTTTGAGTAGGAGAGCAGTAAAAGCTTGAAGACCAGATATTACTGTGAACTGAACAGATGTGGCATTGTCAGAGTAAAGACCCTTGAATGAAGGGAGAAACTGGATGAAGGGAGAATATGAAAGGGCATTGCTATAGGAGAGAGAGGACATGCAAGGGAAAGAAGCAGTCATGGTGGAGGCAGGCAGCATGGAAGAACGAACCTTGGCTCAGCAGCATGTTGAGAGAACAGTGTGGGCTAAGAGCCTCCAGAAATATTGCATTTGGATGTGGGTGAGCTGAGAGATGCCCTTGATGGGAGTATGGTGCCAATAGACAGAGGGAAGTTTATTCTCTATCATGGCCAAAAGTGAAGCAACAAGAGTTAAGGGGTTGGTGACTACTACCCAGCACTTGGTAGCAGTGATCCTGGCATCCTGCCCACTCTGCTTCCTGGCATCTGTCCTGATCCATACCAGAGAGGCTCTTCCGTACAGCATGTTCTGATCTCTCAGGGATGTAGAGTGTCCCTCACCCCCTCACATATGTACCAGGCTGGCGTGAACACCAGCTCGTTGCTGGGCTCCCTTGGCTTCATCCCCAACATTGGAGGTGCCAGTGCAAGAGGAAGGGATAGAAAAGCCAGGAGTTCCCTGTAGTGAGGCTGCACTTGGACCAGGCCTAGAAGAGTTCCTCTTTATCCCACCATTCACATAATTCCTGTCTTCCACAGTTCAGCACAGTCATTACCAAGAGGCACAAAGAATCACAGTCCTCTGTGTCCAAAGGTAAAAAGCCTGCCAGTGGTTGTGTGTCCCAAACTAAAGAGGATAGAGGGTGATGAAGCCAGACTACAGACATGAAACTACCTCATCTATCAGGATGGCACTATTCCCCAGAAACCTGTTAGCTTCTTGCTGTGCTTCCAGGCAGTCAAACTCTAGGGCACACTCATCTCCCCTACCCAGCTCTACATTCCATTCTTTGCCCCCACATTTACTGCTCTTCCCTCTCCCAGACCTCCAACTACTGTCTTCCCCAACTTGGGCTCTATTCTTAATCTGGTTTCCACTTCTTCCTGCATCATGCCCCCCTTCGTTTCTCTTCATTTCACTTCGTTTCTCTTTCATCTTTTCTTGCATTCCATCCTGCATTCTTTTTGCCAGGACTGGCAGGAAACAGCATTCTCTTTTCTCTCCTGAGATTTTGGAACCTCCAGCTTCTATCTCAAGAAAAGGAAGGGAAAAAAAGAATAATACGATAAGCATTTTGCCAGTTGATTCCTTTAGCAGTTCAAAGCTAAGGAGATTTCTGAGGAAGGAGCTGGAATAAGAAGAAATGGTTCAGTGGCTTGTCAACGGTGGGGCTTAGAGAGGCCCCAGGTGAAAGAGGCTACATAAAAGGTGAATTAATATCATGGCTGGTGCAAGTTGAATTGAGTAAAGCCAGGTCTTAGACACAGTTCTTCTATGAGTATGTAGATAGGACTCATCAGTCCGCCTCCTTCAAGCTCAGATCTAATAGGAAAACAACAAAACTCTCCTGCCAAAGTAAAAGTTTTTATAACATCCTCTTAGCTTCATCAGGCTTACATTTACATCAGACAAGCCAGGGTGTGCCAGGAGAAAGAGCCAAGTCTGCCATTCAAGGGAGAATGAACTGTCCTTGTGGTTACAGACAGCTAAAACAGCACCAGTATCCAGGCTTATTGACATCTGGAAATAAGTGTGTGGTAAACTGAGTCATCAACCCCACTAGTGTCCTAGCACAGGGCGCTGGGGAAACAAGATTCAGATGAGTTAGAAAACAAAGAGATATAACCTGGACCCTTCAGTTCTGCCTGCCCCAGCCTTTGTCCTCACTAATGCACCTCTTTATTCTCTTGCAGAGAAACCACGGATGAACAACATCCTGACATCTGCCACAGAACCCTATGACCTCTCCTTCTCACGCTCCTTCCAGAACTTGGCTCACTTGCCCCCATCTTATGAGTCTGCAGTGAAGACACACCCCAGCAAGTACTCATCCCTGAAAAGGCTAAGTAAGTGAGGTTCTCCCAGGTTTGGGGCCTGCCTCTTGGACTCCATGACTTCTACCTGTCACTCAGCTGAAGGGGCCAGCTGGAGTCCCAAGAAAACATCAACAGGTCCAGGTTCTTGTTCTTTAGAGGCCTCAGGCCAGGCTGCCCAAGAGGCAGTGCTTTAATTCAACTAGGTAAAGAAGCCTCTACCCAACCCTGTCCCACACTTGCTATACTTGAAACATAGACTTCCCCCTTGCTCTCTTATTTTGGAGTAGAGGCTAGCAACCTCAGTACTTACTCTGTGAGAACTATCCCAGAGATCTGTTGGTTGAAGTGCCCATATCTGGCCTCCACCAACATTATCTTAAAGTCAAACTGAACACCCCACCCACGCGCATGCACACACACACACACACACACACACACCATTTCCTCAGTTAAATCCAGTTTGCCCAATAATCCCAGCTTTGCCATTTGCATCTGGGGAGACTCTGGGGATTGACAAATTTAAGACATTACAAGTTCAAGAAGGTATGTGACATGGTGGAAGATCACTTCTCACCTGGCTTTCTGACCTTCAGGCCCATTTCCCAGCATTTTGATCATCATGTAACTGCTGAGACGAGCATCTGCTTGAAGGTACAGGGTATCCTATCCTGCTGAAAGTACAGCCTATGGACTCACATCAGCCACCTCCAAGGTGGAATGGTGATTTTCTATGGCTAGATGACAAGGGATGTGGCTCAGAAGGCAGGAACTACCTGTGGATTAAGTAAGAAAAGCATTCCACAATTTGCAAGGATCTACATGTTTGTAAGAGGCTTCACCCCTGAAGCTTGGGGCAAGGCAAATTTGTATGGGTCTTCAGTAAATTCAGGGTGCAGAAGGCAGGAAGGAGAGAAAGGTGGAACATCTGAATGAGGTCCACATATAGGATTGTTCCAGCCTGCTTGTGCTGCGGGCACAGGCACAGTTTGTGAAGACTTGATTCCCTGATTGTGTGGGGGCTGGATGCCCATGTGTTGGCTTCTTATGCATTGGCTGTTACCCCAGAGAAGGTGTTACTATGTTCCTAAGTTACCAGCTAAACATTTGCACAAGTGCCTCCTGGTTGGAACATTTTCTTTATACCAGTGGAAGCTGATTGTGCAAGCCAACCTCCTCGGAGAGACTCTGGACCTATCTGAAAGCTGCAACCTGCTATTCTGTGTTTGAGCAACACCCAGGGAGCCATTCTGTTCCAAGATCATAGTGTACAAGAAACTGAGCTGGAGCTGGTACTATCTTGCTATGCATTGTACCATGAGGCCCCTGGGGACCTCAAGGAAAGTCTGTAACTCCTTGACACTCAAGGTGGCCCAGGAACCAGAGTCATTAGCATTGTCTGGGAGCATGTAAGGATGCAGATTCATGGCCCAGCTCTAAGCTATGGTGTCTGACTCAGAGCCTGCATTTAACAAAACCTCTGGGGACTGATGTGCACATTAATGGAAAAGTTCTGTCACTACCTGTCTGGGCTACAGGGTCTTAGCTTAGCTTAGTCCTGGCTTCAGTGTCCTCTCAACTCTCTTCTCTCTGTTTCCCCGTTGCAGCTGACAAGGAGGCTGATGAATATTACATGAGGAGGCGACATCTGCCTGACCTGGCAGCCCGAGGAACCCTCCCCCTCAACGTCATCCAGATGTCCCAACAGAAGCCCCTGCCACGAGAGCGCCCACGCCGGCCTATCCGAGCCATGTCCCAGGACAGGGTCCTGTCCCCGGAGCGGGGCCTGCAGGATGAGTTTGGCATGCCCTACGACCGCATCCTATCTGATGAGCAGCTGCTCTCCACAGAGCGTCTGCACTCCCAGGACCCACTGCTGTCTCCAGAGCGGACGGCCTTCCCTGAGCAGTCCCTGTCGCGGGCCATCTCGCACACGGACGTCTTTGTGTCCACGCCCGTGCTGGACCGCTACCGCATGACCAAGATGCACTCCCATCCCAGTGCCTCCAATAACTCCTATGCCACCCTGGGTCAGAGCCAGACGGCAGCCAAGCGCCAGGCCTTTGCCTCACGCAGACACAACACGGTGGAGCAGCTGCATTACATCCCGGGCCACCACACCTGCTACACAGCCAGCAAGACTGAAGTGACCGTGTGACTGACCGGGCGGGGCAGGGCTCCAGGCAGAATGGGGCGGGGGCAAGATGGGCCTGGAGCAGAGCTTCTAGCTCTGTACATTTCCCTTCCCATGTCTCCTCCGTAGGAGGTGGGAATGGGCCGCCTTTGCCCAGAAAGCCATACTCCCGGGGACCCAACCCGGTGGCCTGGCACAGCATGCTCAGACCTGGGACCCAGAGTGATTGTTCTCACTCTTCTAGAAGAGTCAAAGGGTGAGAGGAGAGGGGCTAGGCCCTGTCTCACCCCCACCACCTTCATCAACTCCCTTTCAGTCTCAAGTTCCTCCTCTCACTCCTAGGGACTCAGCGGCAGGTTCTGTCAGCCGAGACCCTGTTCTGACCCTGGTCAGAAGCTGCCTGGGTTTGAAGTGGCCAGCGGGTGTGGCCCGTGGGCTGACCGAATAGGCTACTCGGTCTCTCATTTACCTAGAACCGCATCACGGAAATCTTCTAGTGCCTACAAACTGCCTGCTCGCTCTCTGAGGCAGGGAGCTGCTGTGTCCATAAGCACAATAATGATTCTCTTCTGCCTGCTGGAACTCTGATCCCCAATGAGTGGCCCTCCCCACGCTGACCCCACTCTAACCCTGCACTCCTCCCCCAAGTCCCAGGACCAGGAAGGGTTCCTTTCCTCCTGCTGCCTCCCCAAGTGTAGGCATCCACCCCAGTTCAGCTAGCTGCCCCACCCACAGAACCCCTTGGTCCCTCCACTGACCCTAGATATTTCACCCTTGAGTTCTCTGGGGCTTTGCTTTAGTCTTCCCAGAGGAGAGTAGGTGATGGGACACAGGGACTTTGGGGATGCCCTCCAGCAGCCTGATTATCTCCACACTTCTTTCAGGCCTCTAGGCCTGAATTATGACCCGCCACTCAGGCTTGTCTTCCCCTCCCTTGCTCTGTTCCCTAGAGGCATCTGCCCCTGGCTAGAGAGCAGAGGGTGGGGAGTGCCACTGTGATGCCCTGGGTCTCAGGGGCTTGCCATTCCCATTGTCCAGGGCTCTGTCTCCTACCATGCCCATTAGGCAGGACTGAGGCTTCTAGAGAGCATTGGCTGTTAGCCCCCAATCAAGGAGGACTCAAGTAGTTATGCCACACCTTGTTTGCTCCACTGTCCCCATCATCACTGCCCACTGCTCAGCTTCTTTCCTGCTTAGACCTATCTCTATCTATCTTTCTATCTTTGTCCTTCCCACTCATGACTTCCAGCCCTATCAGGCTAGTGGTCTCCACTATAGATAATCTATCCTCTCCCCATAAAGGAAACATCCCTCCCCAGAAAGAGAAGAAAACCCATAATTTCCTTCTTCATGTCTTGTTCTTTGTACAAGTTCCCTATTTCTCTTTGTCCCTCCTCCTCGCCTTCTGAAGCTCCCTTACGCTCTCCTGGCTGCTGCTTCTTTAGACCAGTGCCTACTCTGGTTCAAAGGGACAGAGACCCATTGGCAAAATCAAATAATAGTACTCCAGGCTACTGGTCTGGGGGTGACCGAAGCAGCTCCCCGTCCCCCCTCCCTGCATAGGGCAACCAGGCAGATCCATCTTATCAGCTCTATTGAGGGCTAACCCAACTCAACCCATCTCAGCCCTTTCTCTGCATTTTAAACCTGGATAGGGAGACTGTGATGGCCTCTTGAAGAGCAGACAGTGAATGAAGCCTCATCTATTCCCCCAAGACCAGAACCTGAGGAAAGAGAAAGGGCTCCCTTATTCTCAGAGCCATGGAATCTCCCTGGACTGGCTGGAGGAATCAGCTTCAGACTCTAGATGAAGGTATGATACCAAAAACATAATTCTCATCACAGGCAGACTCCAAAAGCAATTACCTTAAACTGAGGTTTTAGATTCTATAGATAACATGTGTGGTCATTTAAAAGGGAGGTAATGGGCTAAGAAAATTCTCCAGTGTCAGCTCTGGGAATTTTTAATCAAACCAAGATCATGATACACAAAAGAAATCAATTGACTGATTTTTTCTTATTTATTGAAGAATTTCAAACCTCTTATCTCCCCTAAGGCTAACCTCCCCAGATAAACAGCAATGCATTATATGAATCATGAAGGGATTAAGGCTGGATGATGAACACACTCAGCATCCACACTAGAGATGAGTCACTGGGACTGTGAGGCTGTGAGGACAGGGATAACTTTGTTTTCCTTCCCCACAAATGCATCGACCTTTTCCAGGGCTGGTTCACAAGGGTTTATGAAAGTTTGCTCCAGAAGGCAGGGTTGGGCAGAAGAAATCAATTTAAATAGAGAAAAACCAGAAACAAGGTATGTCTCTTCCTCAGCCTGGTACCCTTTAATCTAGCCCTAGACTAGTTCCCTTGAATCCCTTGAAGGTTGCCTGGTGATGGGGTGGGGAAAGGATATGGGTGCTTGAGAATGTGTATCTATAAACATATACACCCTGAACCAGAAGCCTGATCCCATCTTCTGTTTAAGGATGTTCTGGATTCAAGTTTTCCATCTCCCTGGATGATATTTCTTCCTAGCTCTGTCTGTCTGTCTCAGGGGGTTGCTGAATACATTCCAAAACATCATGACTGTCCATTTATAATCTCAGTGTTAGATCAGAAAATTCTACCCGAATGCCTCTTTAAATTAAGCTTCTGCTTCACCTTTGGGTTTAGAAGGGAGGAAGAAAGGAAGAAGGGAGGGAGGGGACAAAATGAATAAGGAAAAAGAAAGTGAAGCCTGCAAATCTACTCCAGTTTAATCCCTCATTTCAAAATCCATAAAATTATTTCTTAACTGGGATATTGAGGTTTATTATCTACTCAGTGGTCTCTTCCATGTGTATAAAACAAGCAAAATCACATTGCTAGACAATTTTATGTAGAATCCAGAGGTCATGACTTCCAGCCCCATCAGGCTAGTGGCCTCTACTATAGATAATCCATCCTTCCCCATAAAGGAAACATCATCCCTTCCCAGAAAAAGAAGAAAACCCATAATTTCCTTCTTCATGTCTTGTTCTTTGTACAAGTTCCCATTGCTCTGACGGAAATGCACTGGAGTCTGCACTGATTCTCTCCCACCCTAAAGATACTTACTGGTCTCTGTGGCCTTGGATGACAGTCAAGCTCTAACAATCCTCATCCTTCCCACCTGTCCTGACTTGTTTCCTCTAATTATCTCCTGGCTCCATATGCTCTAAATCATAAAGACTTTCCTAAGATTCCTTTAACCTCGTAATTGGGCTTCTGCCCTGAGGAATCCCCACTGTCCTGCTTAATAGGTCTGCCTTCCAGAAAGTTGCCTTACTTCAGTTTTCTTCTCTCTTTACAGCCCTCTACACCAGTTCAGTACTCTATGTTGGTTCAGTATCTCTTTCATCTCTCTGACCCTATCTTTCTCTACTTATCTCCCACTATCCCTAATTTCTTTTCTTTGGTCCTGCTAAAGTCTCTAGTTCTAAAAATCCAGTTTTCAATGAAAACAAGAAGTGAGACATTCTTTAGAACTTCTGTTTACCTCTTTGCTTTATCTTTTACCTCCTGCCTGTAGGAGATGATCCTCAGGGCACATTGCCAAGGACTCACTGCTCTGATCTTTGGGAGGGGAGAGAAGTTGCCTAGTAGAAATCTCATGGTTAAAATATCAGCTCTGGCCCTGTTGGTGGCAAATCCATGGAAGCTTGGAAGCTGCTGTCCCAGCCTGCCAGTAGCCCAGCGGCTCCTCCTCTGGCCAAAGATTCATATCCTTGAGGCATCCTCAACCACTGATCCCCCTTACGCCCACCCTACTTATGTGTGTCACAGATCCCCTTTGCCTCAAAATACCTGAGAGCCTCATGACTCTCTAACCCTGAAGAAATAGCCCGCCCAGTATCCCTGCCACCAAACTCAACCCATTTCTTCAGAAATACCTTGTCTGCCACCAGCCTACTGTCCTCAGATTCCTTCCACAGGCAGCTGTGGACTTGACCCAAGGTAACCTGAAAGGGTTACCAATGACCTGACTCTAGAAAGCCCCTGCTCTTGGGAAGAGTGAAGATGTTACCTCTCATATACATTCTCCTACCACCCTCCCCAAATTGGGAAACTTTGCTTGAGAGTATTTTCAAAGAAGCGTGTTGTGTTTTAATGAAGTATTTTTCAGGATTCAAATGTAACTTTTTATAAATCAGCATTTTAATGACAGATTCAATATGAATGCTATGTCTTCCTGGTTCTGTATTTGATTTCAGAAGGCAGCATACTACAAGAGGAGAAAGCACAGGGCTGAGGCTCTTGGAGACATACTTCTGCTCTGTTCCTGTCTCCGTCTTGCTACGTGACCAAGGATAAGTCATGTTCTCGCTCAGTGCCTCGGTTTCCCCCTCTGTAAAATAAGGGGCTTTGACTAGATGAGCTCTGAAGTTTCATCCAGCACTTCCATGCTAAGGTTGTCACCCCATCAGCAGCCTTCCTCTTTCACATTCCTCCCCTTCTCAACTGAGCTGCATATAATCCTGTATACCCATAAGACGACATCCTCAGATGCTCTAGACAGATACCAGACTCCTCACAAGAGCCTTGGGTAGGCCCAAGGTTTTGGCCACCCAGGGATGCTCCCATATCTGAAGGAATAAGGGCCTACCCATTCAACAGCTCCCCAACTGTGTGTCATGGAAGCCCTCTCCTAGAGACACAACTCCATCATCTTGGGTGTCTATGTCACTGGGAAATGCACGTTTAAAGCTTTCATTTTGATGTGTGTGGTCCTTAAAGCTGGAGGGAGGCAGTTTGGATTTCAGAAAGGGGAGGAGCTGGAGGAGAAAGGTCCGGAAGTCAGCCCACAAGGGCATGAAGTCTGTACTTCAGGGCAGTTTGGAAATCTCCAAGCCATAGAGAAGAAAGCACAACAAAGGCTCTGTGTGGCAATGGATGTCATATCCCACTCCAGAATGTGTGTCCTGAAAACCAAGTCTGGACACTAGGCTCCATTCTAACTGGAGGAGGAGGAAGCATCACCCCCTAGGCTTCTAGGAGGTGGGCACTCCTCCCATCCTGGTACATTTCTAGTCCTTCCTCGTGACATTACGGT